CCTTGTAAGGTACCAAATAATGCACCATTACCATCCATAATAATAAACCAAACCGAGAATCATCAGCTAATAATGCTTGTAATGCCTTTTCGAAAAGAAAACAGATATATAATAATAATTCTATAATTTTTCCAGAGAAAAAAGAATCCGAGAGAATTTCTCTATGGAAAAGAAGATTTTTGATTGATTTATAGATGAAGAATAGAAATTACAAACGAGAATTATAATAGAATCTTTCAACTATAATATTTTTTAATAAGAAAGACAGACAATAATTTGATATAACTAATAAAAAGTAGATATACATTCAAATTTAAATTGACTCTACAGCAAAAATCTGTTTTCGATGTTTTTTTGACCCCGCGAACATACAATCAATCAGACAATTTATATTTACTGAACTCTTTTCTACACTTAGACAAATTTATATCATTGTTTGAAAACATACTTCAGTATGAAATTTATTGTCACATAGGTAAAGTGAAGTATTGATTGGTTTAAAAGGTTCGAAGTCAATGTTAACTTTTTTTTCTTTACCATCATCTGTTACTATTGTACCACAATAGATAACAAGTCCATTGTTTGGTACTATAAATAAGAGAATATTTCATCATGTCATTCAATACTAATAATAATGAACCTTTATTATAAAGTTTAAGTCGAGCTTGTACTGAAGTAATGGCAGAAAGGACAGATAATCGATTAACACGTGATTTGATATTGGATGCTGTACCGTATTCATCTGCGAGCATTTTAGCTATACGTGGTATTTGATCACGAGGTGGAATAATTAATGATATCATACTTGTGCCATTGCCTCTAGCTGCTTCTAAACTTTTAATTAATTTTTTAATTTTCCATATTTCGACATTTTTGTCTGATGATTCTTGTGGCTGTTCGGCCATACAGTCGATGTTATTAACACCGGGATCTTAAACAGACGCACTATAAACAAAAAATATATAATATTAGTAATTTGATTCAGTATGATTATATATATAATAAAATAGAAGAGTTGATTATTTCAACAACTAGAAATATTTTTTGTAATTTAGAAATAACATGAAAGAAAAAAAAAGCATGACACAAGGCTCGTGGCGCAAGTTTATCAATCGATGATTAAGATACCAGTATTGAGTAGTTGAAAAAGACTTTTTGAAATTTATATATTTGAAATAAAAATTTTAAATTTATAATTTAAGTAAAATTCTTTATGTTGAAATAAATATTTTTACATAAAAATTTAATTTAAAAGATTGAAAACTATTGACAGATGGAGTTAGTTTATGGACATGTGTATATAATTTAAATCAAATATATGTGAATGGTACTTTTTATTACTTTAACTGGTCATCTATTTCAATCAATTTTATTATAGATAATATATTGAATATTTATTACGAAAGTTGTTTATTTTCACAAGTTTTTTCTTTTATTTTATAATAGTATTCTGATACTAAAAATAATTCTTTTTATTTGAAAACAAAAATATATTTTTAATCTGATTTGGTCCATCCAACAAATGTTCCATCATCGGATCGTTGTATAGTTCGTACTTCAACAATAGCTTGACGATCGATAGGACCATAGATATGTGGAAAAGGTAAACGAAATACAGATGATTCTTCCCATTTAATTGGTGATGGTGGATTTTTTAATTTTGTCATATCAATAACAAGTAAAAGATAATCACCAGGAACATTTCGATAATATTGATTAGCTACTTTAATCATAAGTTCATCACCTGATGTACAGTGAATAAAACCTTCTCTGTCATATTCAGCAGGTAAATAGGGTAATTCATCTGGCCATGAATACCAACGTGAAGCAGGTGCAAGATGATAGATAAGACTCATAGTAATGCGTATATGTTTAGTTAGTTTCTTTCTCTTTCTTTATGTTTAGTCCACGTATCCATTAGAAAAGAACGAAGAATGATCCAATAAAAGTATAAATGAAAATGAGTCGCCAGTTCTAAGATATATATGTCGAAGTCAAGTTAGAAACTTATTCTAATAGTATGTAATTTTGCCTTTAAATATTTTATTAATGAATAAAGCTCGAACTATTCAAACGACTATTTTATAATTTATTGAGCACAATTAAAGTCTCAATTATTCACTAGAAAAAATAGACAACATTAATAAATGATCCATATTTATTTGTACATAGTTTCTTGCTATTTCATATTTCAAATGTGAACATTTACGTACAACATAAGATACTCATTTTATTTGTTGCATCTTATTTTTTTGATTTAATAACGGATTCTAAAAAAATTTTAGTCTATTGACGATATTTGAGCGTCAGATTGTCATAACACTCTTATATGAATTTCTCGACTTTTGATAAATTTCATCCTTTAAGCTAGGATTCACTATTCGAAAGCTGTACTTCTCATTAGAAAAATTTCTTCATAAACTTAAACAGAATGAATCTTCCCATATTAACTCCTGTAAACATTTAAACAATATATCCTGTATTGACTTTATAAGAGGTTGTTGATAGTGTTATGGATTACTTTAATTATAGCTTGATTTTTTGGTATAGCGATTTTTTAGGGCTAGCCCATCGTTTGTGATATATTTGAGGGATACGGAAACTCATTTTTTATCGTTTGATTGTGTTTCTGAGAACTCCGTACCAGATGTTGTGGACCAACAATAATAGAGTCTGATGGCAACGGCTGTCGTGAATATAGTTTCCGATCTGAATTCGTATAGTTGTTATTTATAGTAACTTTACATGACTAGAATTCCTATCGGACCTCATACGATTTTACGTTTGGAACAAATCACCTGAGTAGTATAAAATTATCACCGTTATAACTCTCAATATTTTCTCTTGTTGTTGGTATACTTTACTTTTCTCTCTTCTTTGTTCATCACCTATATATATTATATATAGACATACATCTGCGCCTCGTAACACGATTCGGTGTGTACATTTTTATATATGTATACAAAAAACCTATACGATCGTTTCACGAGCTGACAGCATGTAAGCCATAGAAAAAAGTGAAGTGTAAGGACAAAGCAGATGTCGCGCTTTGTACCTCTACCGAGAAGTTTCTTTTTATAACATACCAAAACATAAACACAATGGCTGAAAATGGTTCATCAACACGTGAATTAAATAAACGACATCGAAGTACTAGTAAAGAAAGGGAACATCGTCATCATCGATCACATCGTGATGGAAATGAAAAAAAGCATCGACATTCATCACCTAAAAGATCATCAAAATCACCTGAACCAAAACGTCGACAACCTGATGAAATTACTAAAGTTAAAAGATCCAATCATGATGATAAAGAAGATGAAAAAACTGTAGGCAATGGAACAACAACAAATAATGATGAAATTAATAATAGAAATATTAAAACAAAGCAAGTTCCACTTTCATTGGAAGAAATGGTTGAAAGAAATAAAAAAGAACAAGAAGCAATTTCAAAGCCGAAATTTTTAACAAAACAAGAACGTGAAGCTGAAGCATTACGACGTAGACAAGAAGAAGCTGATTCTATTCGTAAACGCAATGATGAATTACGTAAGAAACATGCTGAATTTAGTAAAGAAGGTGAACAAGCAGCAATTAAAGATGATCGAGAACGTGAACGACGTGAACGTGAACGCAATCGTCATCGAAATGATAAAGAAGAAGAAAAAGAACAACCAAATGCCGATGGAGAACGTGAAGAAGCAGCTGTTAAAGAACGATATCTTGGCATTACTAAGAAAAAACGTAAAATTCGTCGTTTAAATGATAAAAAATTCGTATTTGATTGGGATGCTGGTGAAGATACTGCTGTTGATTATAATCCAATTTATAAAGAAAAACATGAAATACAATTTTTTGGTCGTGGTCATATAGCCGGTATTGATATTAATAAACAAAAGAAAGATCAATCAAAATTTTATGAAGGTCTTCTTGAAGAACGTCGTACACCAGGAGAAAAAAATCGAGAAACAGCTCGTTTAAAATCTGATCAAGATAAAGATGAAAAACGTCGTCATGATGAACGTCATTGGTCTGATAAAACTTTAGAAGAAATGGCTGATCGTGATTGGCGTATATTTAAAGAAGATTATTGTATAACAACAAGAGGTGGAAATATTCCACATCCATTAAGATCATGGGAAGAAGGTAATCTTGAAAAAGGTATTCTCGATGTTATTAAACTTGCTGGCTATAAAGAACCATCACCCATTCAACGGCAAGCAATTCCAATTGGTTTACAAAATCGTGATGTTATAGGTATTGCCGAAACTGGTTCTGGTAAAACAGCAGCATTTCTTATTCCTTTACTTGCTTGGATTCGATCATTACCAAAAGTTGAAAGATCGATTGATGCTGATAATGGACCATATGCACTTATATTAGCACCAGCTCGTGAATTAGCACAACAAATTGAAGAAGAAGCAGTTAAATTTGGTAAACCATTAGATATTAGTGTTGTTTCACTTATTGGTGGTTTATCTCGTGAAGAACAAGGTTTTAAACTTCGTCTTGGTTGTCATATTGTTATAGGTACACCTGGTCGTCTTTTAGATGTACTTGAAAATCGTTATTTAACATTACAACAATGTAGTTATGTTATTATGGATGAAGCTGATCGAATGATAGATATGGGTTTTGAAGGTGATGTTAAAAAGATTCTTGAATATTTACCTGTTACAAATCAAAAACCTGATAATGAACTTGCTGAAATTTCAAAAAATTTTTATTCAAAAGATAAATATCGTCAAACAGTCATGTTTACAGCTACAATGACACCAGCTATTGAACGTTTAGCTCGAACATATCTTCGTCGTCCAGCATCGGTTTATATTGGTGCAGTTGGTAAACCAACTCAACGTGTAGAACAAGTTGTTATTATGTGTTCAGAAAATGAAAAAACGTAATAAATTAATTCAAATTCTTGAACGTGGTATTGAACCACCAATTATGATATTCGTTAATCAAAAGAAAGCTGTCGATGTTTTGGCTAGAGGTTTAACTAAAAAAGGTTATAATCCATGTTCATTACATGGTGGTAAAGGTCAAGAAAGTCGTGAATTAGCTTTAGCACAATTAAAACAAGGTCAAAAAGATATTCTTGTTGCAACAGATGTTGCTGGTCGTGGTCTTGATATTAAAGATGTTTCACTTGTAATAAATTATGATATGGCCAAGACAATTCAAGATTATACACATCGTATTGGTCGAACAGGTCGTCAAGGAAAAGCAGGCAAAGCAATAACATTCTTAACCAAAGAAGATGCAGCTGTATTTTATGAATTAAAAGAAGTTATACTTGAATCTCCTGTATCACAATGTCCACAAGAATTACTTAATCATCCTGATGCACAACATAAACCTGGAACTGTAGTTACTAAACGTAACAAAACTGCTATTCTTTGTACTTAGATCAATAGATTTGATCTATTATTTTTTTGTCCTGTATTTATGTATTCTGTTTTTTTTTCGTTTCATTATCGTTCATTGTTAATAACAACATAATTCATGAATAAAATAATGACGTATGATGTTTCTTTTTCCTACAACTAATTTACTGATGAATATTTTGGAAGACAGAATTGTGTTTCACATGGTTATATAATTAATAGTTCAACATAGAATCAAATTCTGAAAATAGTATCACTCTAAAGATTTAACACCGTTACACTTTGTATTAATATATGATGCATTAACAGCATCTTAAATTTCTCGAATTCAGAAATCTAATGTTACAATCAGCTGTATGAAAATCATAATTACGACTACCATTGATATTATACAGAAACTGTCTTACTTTGTAAAACATTCATTAAATAACTTATGTTGCTATTACGGACGTAGTTGTACGGAAGATTTAGTCTTGTAATCATCTATGCTCAACAATAATAGTAAATCCACAAGTGATGATATCCTCGTTAGACATGTTATCTATTTATATGACAAACAAAAGTATTATTTAATTTCTTTTACCGATGACAATACAAAAGATATATATGAATATAAATAAGTTTCATTGAAATATTATTTAATAAGATTGAATTATCTTAGAATATAATACAATCTATCTTCATCCTTTTCAGACCGATCAAAATCTATTTTCTTTCTCTAAACAACAGTACTAAGAGTAAAGAGTCTAAAAGATTATTTAATTATTATGAATAATTTTATCAATGATACAAATACATCAGTTACATTATGGGACAACTTGACATTTTCTTAATATGTAGAATATTTTCTTTAGGAATAAACGTTAACTATTAAATTTAAAGCTAATTTCTTATGCAAACAAATAATTAGAAAATATATTATCAAGAACGAAAAATATCGGATCTCATAATCCGATTTTTCTCTCATGATTAGTTTCAAGTATTTATCAATAAACAACAAGCTATTTTTATATTGCATGGTAACTACTATATGCTTCATACTATATTTAGCTTTATAAACTTAAAGTGTATTTCTAATCTGACAGATTCCAAGTAATTATGATCGAATGTTTCTTCAAAGGAATTTATAAAGCGATTTCATTTAAATCCACTTTTCATTTTTGGAATAAAAACTATGCTTCATCACTTAATAATTATTGACGAGTGATTCTATTTTTACTCTACCATCTATTTGATGATCTTCGCCTCTTAAAATAGCAGTTATTGCATGTAAGATAATTACTGTATTTATTTATAGAACTGTATGCCAAAAAAAAACATTCCGTCTCGAAGGGTTCACAACTAGCCTAGTGCTAAATTCTATCTTTAGTTAACCCTAATTAATACACAAAAATAGGTTTTACTATTAAATATTTAAGATTATCTGTCTAACAACAATTATATTTTTATCTATTGCAAAAAATCGATATGTTTTCTTTGAAAGATATTTTTATTTGGAATGAGAGTCGGTAGTTCAATAAAATACGCCTATAATTTCTTCTGTGATTGATTGTATCAATGCACAAAACGTGAGTCTTTTCTTAGTCTGAATATTTTTGTATAATTAAATTAAGCTAATACTTTCCTATACTTGAATTTCGATATTACAAACATCGATACGAAACGTCTTTTATATTCATGGATTTCTTCTTCTTCTTTTTTTGGGTTATTTCTTTTTTAATCGTATCGATAATGTGCGTTAATAGAATATTGACCGAAAATGCTGATGTACTTGAATATGTAGAATGCGAAAATAATCAAATATAGTTATTTAGTATCGGAAACGCAGAAAAAAAAGAAAAGATAAAATAGATCGCATAGCCGTTCATAGTAGATCTCGATCATAAAAAAAGGAACGAGCAATCGATAGCTAGATAAGAATAATAGAACTATACACAATCAGTTGTTATATAGAGGGTGTTCCAAAGTCATAATCATTTAAAAAATTCATTCGTCAAATAATATCAATAATTGCTCTATAGGACAAAATCGTAAGTTGTTGTTTTTTATCAATTTTATAAATACTGTCTTTGACATCGATACTAAAATTTCGATTTTTGAAAAACAATGTTCTTATTTATTGTATTCTTTAATAAAAAGAACTCCGGAAAACGAGAAGCTATAATAATGATCCATTTGTTAGTGACGATGTCTTTAAGTCAACTATAAATTTTCTTTGAAGAATTGTGCGGATGCTAAATCTGTCTGGAAAAAAAGATTACTATCTACTCTTTCAAAGATAATCCAAAGTTGACTTAATGAGGGATAGATCAATTATATTCTGTGCAATCATTTCAAATCTAGATGTCAAAGGGCAGTATTTATAAACTTAATCAATATGAAAAAAAAATTGTTTGATGAATTAAAGAGATATATGAATTTGTCAAGTGATGATGACTTTCTTTCGATATTTTTGTTTTTTATTCTATTATCTAGGATTAATATTTTGAATAATAATGGAACCAAATATAACATTTTCTGATCAAACACATAAAATTATTATTCCATCCCCTCGACCAACTGGTGATCGTACTGGTCTATATATTCTCTTATTATTATTAAGTCTCCTATTTATACTTATTTTTTATTTAATTTATAATTTTATAGCATATAAACGTTATTCTTATTCTCAAAAGAAGAAACTTGAAATAGAAAAACAATTCAATGATCGCTTATTAGCTGTTCTTAGTCAGTGTAATGAACAACAACAACAACAGCAACAACAATCAATGAAACGTTCACATTCATATGAACAATCAATAATTTCGTCAAATGATGCTCCATTATTAATTACAACTTCATTAAATAATCAAGAAAATTTTAAATCAATAAATAAATCTGTTTCAAATCAATATCATATTACAAATCAACTTGTTTCTGATCTTTAAGAGAGAAAACAATATATATCTATATCTATATATATATAATTTTTCTTTTTTTTGTGTTTCTTTTTTATGTTTATGAAAAGATGAAAATAGATAAAATTTTTTCTTTTTATGGTATTTTTTCCGGTACAGAAGAAAATTTAACGTTCATTTGTGATATCATTCCTCTCGTTGAACGGCTAGTATTATTAGTTGGTGATAATTGATCAAGTTTACCATCAACAGTTTTTAATAATATAAATATATTTTCCATAGTTTGTCCCATATCAACAATTGTATTTTCAACACGTTGCATTCGTGCAAGAACAGTTGATTTTGCACGATCGTCAGTTGTTCCTGTAATTTGTTTACCAATAGTATGTTCAATTCTAAATTAAAGAAATCAATATATATGTAAAAGAATAACTAAAAATAGATAATTCTTTACTTTCGTTGTAATTCTTTTATTCTCATCATCATATTAATATGTCCATGAGAATATTGTTCAAGCACATCACGTACATCATATGGTTTTCTTGCTAACTATAAAAAAAGAATAATCAATTGCAAAATTGTTTTTTTTGCTTTTTTGTTTTACTTGAAATCGATTACGAGCAACAATTAATTGCATTTTTCGTACACATCGTATCATTCTTTTATGATCTTCAGTTAGACTAGAAGAAACAAAAAAAAGCGATAATTGTAATAATTAGTTACGAAAATTGAATATATAACGGAAATAGAACATCACCCGCGTCTTCGATTTCCTTTATATATATGTATGTGACATGATTCTTCGATCATAGAGTTCATTGTATTAATATAAAAGCAGATATGTCGAATTATCTCATATAAACTTATTTCGTTAAACTCAAAGAATAGATTCATGAACTAAGATACTTCGAATGTCAATCAAATTATCACCTGGGATAAAAATGATGTTAGCTCTTTTCTTTTTTTTAGTAATATAATATTTTTCTATCAGTTTATCATTAAATAGATAGAGTTTGTTTTCAGTGCGTGATAAGAAAATTTTACAATAGTTTATATTCTTCGTCGTCGAGAGAAATCTCTTTAGCATAATAATGAAAATTATTTAAACATTTTTCTTTTTCTCTTATTATTACATGCAAACATAATTATATTCCGACAAACTAATTCAATGAATTATTTTATCTAATCAGGATATAATGAGAAAGAAAGGTAAGACAAACGATTTTGTTTTGTTTTGTTTTCAATTACTTACGAACAAAGTTTAATTGGCTCTTCTTCAAAATCTTCATCATCATGATCATTACTAGACAATAAATAACAACCTTTAATAGATCAAAAATTTCTTCTGGAAATTTCGATAAATTTACTTTTCTAAACCTGTTGTATTCAATGTTGATGATGTTGAACCACGTGTATCATTTAGTTCAGGTGATTGTAATAAATGAGGTGAAGGAGGAACTTGACTATTTCTTTTTGCACGATTTTTTCGATGACTAGTTGATAAACGTAAATATCGAAGTTTTTCAGCGGTTTTTTCTATAAAATAAAAGTTTTTCGAAGAAAAAAAAAATAAAAATTTATACCACTAAATGTTTGATTATTTGGTGAGAATGTTTTATTATTTGATGGTACTGTATTTTGTTCAGTAACACGTAAATACATATTCCATGTGGCAACACATGTTGAACCGGGTGCACTTGCATAGACACGCCATGCAGCTTGAATTAATGTTGCTGCTGCTGGAATTTGACGAGAAAAATGTTTTTGACGTTGTTTTTGTTGAACTTTCAATGCAAAACCAGAACCAAGTATACCCTTAATTAATATTTCGAAATAAAATTTCCAATTAATATAATATAAATACTTACGGCAGGTAATGCAAAGAATGATATAGCAAAAATAGCAAAACACGCAGCGATAATCTTTCCAAGCCTTAAATATTTCAAAATAAATAGATAAGTTTTCAAGTATAACTATTGTCTACAGACCAGGTTACTGGGTACACATCGCCATAACTAAAGTATTCAAAAATGAAAATTATATATTAATTATTAAAATATTCATTACCCAATTGTAGTTATTGTTATGACACCCCACCTATAGAACGAAAAAGAAACCATATTTCTAATTTTTTAAATATATATTACTTTAACATACCATAATGCATCAGCATATGATTCAAAATGACTACTATCATTACCTTTTCCACCGCGTAATTCTCCCGGACCTATTTCACCTTTTTCAGCGATGTAAACAAGATAACTACAGAAAATTAACGCAAGAAATCCGATATATAATGTTGTAATTAATTCCTAGAAGAAAATTATAAAAAATTCTATAAAAAGATATCCGATCATTTTATTAATATTTATTTTCTTTTATACTTGTCGATGAATATAAACGACACTTCCTAATAAACGCCATGTACCACCATGTCGATCAACATGTAATACACGTAGAATTTGTAAAAATCTTACACCACGTATAGCTGATGCAGCAAATGCTTGACGATCGGATGCTAAAGTAATCATTAATGTTGAAGCAATAACAACAATTAAATCTATTTTCAAGATAAGATAAGATAAATAGAGATTCTAAAAATTTGTTTTTCTCATCATTCATTACCGACAATAGCAATGGGTTTTCGAGCAAATCGAAAACGTCCAGATATGCCCATATATTTGCTTCGACATCCTGCTGACCAAAGTCTTGCAAAATATTCTATACCAAAGAATAGAATAAGAAAAATTTCAAGCCAATAAACATATAATTCTAAACGTGCAGTAAATTTGTCAATAGTTGTTAACACGGATAAAACAAGACAAACAATCACCGCTACAAATCTAAATTGAACAAAATACATTCATATATTGAATTATAATCATATACTTTTTAATCTTTTAAGAACTTAAGAAGAAGAAATGCACTGAACCATTTATATAATTTGATCTTAAAAAAGAAATCGCTTACAAGGTAAAATCTTATTAGGGTTAAAAAGACAAGTAGAATTTTTTTCTTTCATTAGAGAAATTTGAATTTTTTCTTTTTAGCAAAAAAATGTAATTAAGGAAATGATTTTCTTATAATCTCGAGAACATTATTATACATACACGGTAAAATGATAGACGAAACATTTGACACCAGCTGGTCGTTCAAGAAAATTATATAATAAAATTTGAAAATTGGAGTGAGTTGAACGCGAATTATTTTTTGATGAAAATGGCATGTGTAAATATGTTAATGAATAATAAGATGGAAATGATGGATAACTTAAACGTGTTCCTTCTCTTGATGAACGATAAAGAAACGAAAGACCCACATCAGGATCTGGTTTTAATGATCGAGATATCTCGTTGATAGTCTGTCGTGATAGATGGCGATGAGGAAAATGCATCGAAAAAAGAAAAAAAAAGAGAAAACTTCAAGGCAAAGGAAAAAAAAGAAAAAGAAAAGGAAAAGGAAAAATACTATACGCTCTCTTCGTTGTTGCGTTTTTTATTATAAATAACGATAATAACACTAAAATCATAGCATTAACGTACAAAAAAAAATAGTATTTAATATTAAATTAGAACAATAATCGTATACGTCAAACTAATTAGATTGACAGATGTTTTTCCATGTATCTAAAATAGATGTGGTTATATCATTAAATGTGGAAAACCATCGAATGTAAAAATTATAAACTATATCAAAAAAAGAATAAGTATATCTTATGTTTCTGACACGGTAGCATCAAATAACAACATATTTTCTACTGGGGACAGACAACTTATTAATTCTTTTTTCTTCTAAAGAAATATCATGATTTCAACATTTAATTCGTAATTTTTCTGTCATATTTTATATTATATGAGTACAAAATATTCATCAAATTTCATTGTCATTTACTGACATATACTCATTAAAAGTTCTAGCATAAATATTGCAATGACGTAAGACATATTTTACATATTGATCTATATTCATTTGATTAAACGAGAAAGTCGACAGACGAATTGTCCATGTAATAAAAAATCTAATAAAATGAACAACATTAATAAAAATAAAAAGTGACATGTTTTTTTCCCTTCTTCTTCTTCTTCTTAATGTGATCATTCTGCATCAAAACATAGACATTATGATTGATCATTCACACGTATTTTTTTGAGATATTTTCTCAAGTAAAATATATTTAAAAAAAAAATTTTCTCTTCATAGAATGATTTTTAATCATCAATGACTTTAATTTCCTGCAAAACAAGTGCTCATTTAATGCTTCAATAATTCACATAGATTTAAAACTATGAATATATATGTTACTTTTATTTTGAAATATTTATAATTATCAATTATTTATATTTCTCATTAATACTATAGACTCATAAAACAAAAAATACAATTGTTTTTTTCCGGCATTTTCTATTCTACTTACGTTATTTTCCGTAATGATCAGAAAAAAAATATTCATACGATTATTGTCTAAGGCAGCATATTTATTTTTATTATAAATAAAACTTCTTTTTTTTTTCTTCTCCTGACTTCTTTTTTTTATTTTAAAACGAAAATTGAGCCGTTGAACCACGCACCATTCATCAAGGTGCTTTTTTAGCATGCATTATTTATTGCGTATTTCAGACTAATTGATTTTAACAAGAAGATGTTCAATTTATTCAATCAATAAAATGTATTTAGATTTCGTATATTTGTAATAAAAGAAAAAACGTAGAAGTATTTTTTAAAATACAATGTCTGATAGTATATATGATATTATATACTAATCTAACAATATTAAATTGCATTTATATATCTTTTGTCAATATTAAGTTCATATTCTTTTCTTTTTTTTTTTTGAAAAATTTTTCCATATAAATGAAGTTGACTCATGTGTTCTATAAAAAGATATAAATATACTTATATATCAAGTATAGATATGCTACTTATAAAAGCAAATTAAATAAGAGTCAAAATATACCTTGAAACTTCACTTTTATAATTTCTCTTATGATGAGTTTATAATGTCAAGAACACGTAAAAGACTGTATTTATGCATAATCAAGAATATGATATTAGTCCAACATTTAAACTTGTGGTTTACGTTTTTCTTCTTTATTCTTCAACATCAATATACTTCGTTTTTTTTTCATTGTATAATGCTTCCATCAGTCTTATATCGCTGTAAGATAATCATATAAGGTATAAGCAAACGAAAAGTACACACAGAGAAGAAGAAGAAGAAGAAAAAAAAAGCTATACATTTGATACACTGTACTAATATTCTTTCGACATAAATCACGAATTCAATTCTATATAAGCTACTGCCTAGACAAACGAACATGACTCGTCCTTGTATAACATATGAATTTTTGCGTTTTTTTTTAGCAAGAATAAAAAACGAAAGCGAGCGACAGAGAGAGAGAGAGAGAGAAACGGATTTAAAGTATGAGTACAAGAGATCAAATCAAATATATTATTCTTATTGAATGGACGGATTTCATTTTGTATTTCTTTAATACAAGTATCATATCAGTTAAGTTTGATTTTTCTTTATTTTTTTTTCTTCTTGTATTTTGAAATTCAACTAAAAAATAAAACGAGAAACAAATTATTTTCATTTTCAGTATTTTATATAAATCAACTATTCTATAATTACAATATAGTGATGCAGAAAGCTAAAATATTTTACTTCACGGTGTTTATTCTTGTTGTCTTTGCATTCATTTTTCATATCAATGCAATGGGTCATCATCACTGGAAACAAGTAATTTCAAAAAATACCGATAGAACCATTTTTAGTCGTACAACAATTGGTTTGTTCACACGATGTGAGCCTGACCCAACCAACAAAGTTGAACGATGTTTTCCTAATATGTATCCAGCAATCAATAGTGGATGCCTTGGTACTACCATATCTAATCGATATACTTGTCTTGCAAGAGCGTTAAATGCTACCTGTGGATGTGATTTTCTACCATCAACAAAAGGTATTGCGGCATGCGCAATAATTGCTGCTGTATTTCTTGGTATTGCCATTATACTTTTATTTATTCATTCAATAAAAACAACAGAAACTCGTACAATAGGTTTATGCCTTAGTTTTCTACCATTATTATTACTTTTATTAGCATTCCTATTTATACTTACTGCACTTATACTTGTTGGAACTTATTTATCACGAGATGTTATGCAGCTCCTTCGAACAAACTCTGGTATGTACATTTTAGAAGATTATAAATCTATATATATATTACTAAAATATTAAATCAAATGTTTTTTTTTGCTTTATTTCAGACAATAATTGGGGTGATCTTCGACAACGAGCTAAAGACGTAGCCGATATACGAATCGGTTGGGCATCTGGATTGGAAATAATAGCCTTAGTTTTTACATTCTTTTCGTTTATTCTGTATAGTATCTTTGTTTTTAGACTTGGTCGAACAGAATAAACAAAAGACAATCGATAATACACTCTTTTTTCTTATCAGCACTATTTACTTTCTATATTTTGTAGTTTCTTCATGTGCCTTGTGTGATTTTCTATGTTGAATTCTATTTTTATTCTTTTTTATTAAAAAAAAAGTTGACATTTTAGCATTATAAATCATTTTTTTCATGTGTAGCGAATAAACAGTGTATGATAATAACTCGTTGAAAGAATATGGTACACATGAAATGGTAATATACATATATATATTAATGTTTTGTATGTAAATTGTCAAGATTAACATATAATAAAAATATAAGGTCAATAATCTTGTCTTCGTTTTGTTAAAAATATAACTTTCAAGAAATTATAAGAAAAAAAAACAAATATGTTATTATGAATTGACAAAAAAATATATAATTAGATTTTATAATTTTAATTCCAAGTACATGTGTTCAATCATGATGAAGCAATTCATCTAAATCAAGGACATCTTTTTATCATGTTAAATGCATTGAACTTTGAGATACAAAAAAAAAAAAGAAAGACTCAGCATTTCCATTATAATTATTAGTATACGTAATTTTGATGATGAAAATTTTCATTAGAATAAAAGGCATATTATAATTAGTGAAAAGCATCAACATATAAAGATAAAATATATGCATCAAAAGTTTTTGAAAAATGAAATATTGAATAGCAGTAGATAGAAGCTGAGTGGTTCTAATAATATATGGGAGAATCCGTGAGAATCCTATCACTTTTTGGAAAAAAAATTTTTTTCAATTTTTTTTTTTTTTTGACAGAAAGCCTTAAACGCTCGAGAAAACGTTATTCGTCGAAAAAAAGAAACTTTCTGTTGAAATCCTGGAGTTCTTAGTCGTTTTCTCGGAACCTCTATATATGTATTACATGTTCCAGCATCATATCAGCAGATGACCTATTAAATATTCAAACCAAGGGTTTTTATCGCTCAGAAAGATAGAAGCACTATAGACAATGTGGTTCGTCAAAAAAAAATAAGTATTATTTCTAATGAAATGGTCAAGTTCTAGGTCATTTTGTGGGACATGTAGGGTGCAGCAAATGTAAAAGTCGACAAAAAAAAATTTTTTGCGATCTATATATGGTTTGGTCGAACTCGTCAAGCTCTACAAAACTGTATATTTTAAAATTTTTTTAAGTCAATTTTTTAGGGGGAAAATCGAAAAAATATGTAAAAAAATAAGATAAATTTCATACCATGAGAAATCATTCATTTTTAAAGAACTGCTATCTTTCGAAATTTTTGACCTGCTAAGGACGTTTACAAATATGCTAATACTGCATCTAATGGTATAACGATCTGGAGGGTGATTGAATATTTAGTAGTCATCTACTGATATGATGCTGGAACATGTAATACATATATAGAGGTTCCGAGAAAACGACTTAGAACTCCAGGATTTCAACAGAAAGTTTCTTTTTTTTCGACGAATAACGTTTTCTCGAGCGTTTAAGGCTTTCTGTCAAAACAAAATCGAAAAAAGAACTTTTTTCAAAAAGTGGTAGGATTCTCACGGATTCACCCATATAAGATAAAATCCTTATAAACTAATCATCTGTAATAAACATGCGAGAGAATGCATGAAAATAATCCATGATCACAATGAAATTTTATTTTTAGCTGTTGATAGAATCATGTATTTAATTGTAAAACCGCGAAAGTGAATACTATGCATAGCTTCATTATGAAAACAGTTCTACATCAAATTTGAATAGATTTTTCAACTTGTAAATTAATTTTCTTCATAAGTGTGTGTGTGCGTATATACCATTTATTTCAATTAGTATACGTTCGTTTAATTCACTTCAAGTTCAGTGTATAGAAAAGAAAAAATTGATTAGACTGTATGATAAGTATCTACTGTACTATTCTATTCGCATAGAATAGAAAAGGAAGCAAAACAACACTTCCTTCATTTTCTTACTAGTCTCTTGTGTGTTCAATGCTATACTATTAGTGTCCTGTTGTGCTGTTCATATGTATATTTGCGATTCAATTGTCCGTGTCTGTTTTTTAAATCAATAACTAGTGTGTGTCCCCACTAGGGAAACTAAACAAGACAAGGTTGAACACATAAACAAGTATGCTTATGTCTGTGTGAAATAGTAGGTTTTTTTTTCGTCTACATAAAACATATACTACGTCATAGTCGCTAATTTGTTCTTGAATTTCAAAGAAAATCATTCACTCAATTGAATAAAGTGACAAATTTTATTTCATGTCGGTAATTGAATGATAGAAAGAAAAAAAAAGTAACAGAAAAAAAAAACTGTTACATCACCGATAAGTACTAGTTAGTTGAGAAAAGTGTTTGTTTGATCAACTCAGCAGGTTAACTGTTAAATAATTGATTGAAATTCGTATATATATTTATTCCTATTACACCTGCAAATAAAAGGAGCGTATCAAGCAACAAATCAATCGGATCATTGTTTCTATAGAAAAGAAAAGACACTAATAATTATGAATTTGACATTGATATCTAAAAAAGATTGATGAACACACTTTTCACAGTATATCTAAATAAACTTTCTTTTATTATATATCTATCTTTATGAATCGTGAGTTATAAAACTATTGTAAATATTCTACCATCTGTGCGTCTATCATAATGCTCAATTGACTGGTGTTGCTACTAGCTATATATTTTTCATGATAACGACATGACACCTATATAAATTCTCCAATGAATCAATACAAATCAGTCAGAAAATTGATTTATATATATTTTACCTTTGTGAAATAAATTTTAAATGATCATATACGTATTGGTTGATTTTCTTATACTCACATTTTTTGTTTTGTATATAAACATGTAATCTTTTATCGATCAATATCTAAGGCGTTATAATGACAATGATGAGATAAACTTATTCTTGTCAAAACATCTCGAGGTCACATAATCTATCATTTCTTTTACATAAGAAAATGAACAATAATTATTTTTTATTGACGAAGAAGAATAAGACTAGTCCAATTAAAAATAATGAGTTCGACTTCTCTCTCTCTCTCTCTCGTGTCACACTTGCTTATTCGTTCAAGCATAAGAATAAAATTTATTGCATCAGATTTATTCTTCATGGTTATAATCACTAAATGAATTTCTTGCGTGCAAGACAAAAATGACATCATTTTCTTAGCTTCTTGCTTGTTAAATTTTCTTCTTTTGCTTTCTCACTTTCTTTTACGATCGTCAATTCGTCACGAAAGATAAGATTCAAGAAAAAAATGATGTTCTTTTGATTTTTAACACATTCAATTGCTGAGATATGTTTCAAGAGTTCGTCAAAAGAAAAAGTTAAGAGACTCAATATTGGTTTTATTCATGTTTCTTTTTTATTTCAGAGACAGTTGGTCATTGAAAATTAGCATTTATCTCATGTAGATTGATGAAAGGATGAATACGCGGCTTTATTTTTCCATTTGAATAGATTCATAACAACAAAAAGAGAGCGAGAGGGAGACAGTATCATCCTAGTATTGTTGCTTTTTCACGGGCGGTAGAACACACACATGCCATTTTTTTTTGATAAGTCGACCAGCACGCGACATTGATCATCCCACTTGCGATTTGTTTGATCTTTAATTAGGGTATTTGATGATGGTTAACTCATCAAAAATCGACACATACAAAGTGTTGAAAACGGTCTCTAGAATAGATCATCAAACTAGCTGAAGTATATTATTATATAATCATTCGTAGACTTAAAGGTGTCATTACTCTCTGAAATCTTGAAATATGTATTTTTCAAATGAGTTGAATACAATGATCTAAATGTATATGAAACATAAAATTTATAGTAGAGAAATATGCATCTGCACGTAACAAAAAGAAATATTGAAATTAGATTTATGTATATTTCATATGATTTTTAGTTCATTCAAATATTTAATAGTGTTTATTTAGTATATATAAAACTCTTTTTATGAACGTTGAGTCAATCATAGAAAGATATATTATTATGCATCAATGGTGTTTTCTTCTACTTTGGAATAATTATATGCTCATTTCTTTTCTCCTAAGAGTGTAAAAATTAGTCTAATCATTAGCTCATATCTCACACGTGTCAATTGTACCAATGAATGATTTCGTTTTCTATATAATTCCCATTGGTCATTTAATTGTAGATATAGAAAGCGAGAGAGAGAGAGAAAAAAAACAGAATGACCGTATATATATAGTGATTCGATAAGGAAGAGAAGAACATTTCCGTTTTAACTCAATCATTGAAAACATACTCAAATCAACGTGATTTACTTGATTAATAAAATGCCAACAAAAATTCCTCAAGAAGAAGAACAACGACGATTAAAACAACTTGAACTTGAAATTCAATATCATGAACATACTGAAGTTATTAAAGAAAATACATATCATCAATGTCCAACAATAAAAAAAACATCGACTGAACCAAAAATTCCTAAAAAACGTGGTCCAAAAAGAAAACAAATGACACCATCACGTGTTGCACGTTTCAAAGTTCGACGTATTAAAGCTAATGGTCGTGAACGTGAACGTATGAAAGGTCTTAATGAACAATTAGAAGTCTTACGTGAAACAATTCCATGTTTTTCTTTGGCACAAAAATTATCAAAAATTGAAACATTACGTTTAGCAAAAAATTATATTGAAGCATTATCACAAATGATATCTAGTAATCAAATACCAGATAATGAACAATTTGCTCAATTACTTTGTCAAGGTTTATCACCTAATACAATGAATCTTGTTGCTGCAACACTTTCATTAAATCCAAGAATTATACAACAAAATGATTCAACGTCATCATCAAATATAATACCATTAGATCAAACTTATATGTTATCATCAATACATCCAAGAGTTCAAAATCCATTAGAATTTATAAATTTAAAAAAAATGAATTCAACAAGTGAAAGTGAAGATGATGTAGGCATTTATAGTTTTGATCATGGTTCATCTTATTCTGGTGATAATAGTAGTATTGATGATATTAATCCAATGATTGTACCTGAACATACTCAATCTCAATCAAGAAATGTTTATTCGAATGAACAACAATATATTTATCCTGATCATTCATTATATTACTATCCAAGATATTACTGATTTGTTTTTACTTGTATTCAAATATAATTTATTCATATAGAAAGAAAAAATACATTCCTTTTGTATATTGTTTCTTTATATTTTTGTTTTCATAGTGGCCATAATAAAAAGAAATAATTGTTCGATAAGAAATAGATTATTGAAACAATAAAATATTTGTGTTTAAAATCAATTTCATAGTAATTTTCATTCATTCTGATACGATATATATATAGGTGTGATTCATATCTCATGATAGAAAATTTTGTATTGTTCCATCTTATTATTCACATTGCATCATATCGATATGATGATCATCAAGCATGAAATAGGAGCATGCAAGGTGTTATTTAATCAAGAAAAGTTAATTTTGTTTTTTATCGAATAGATGATCTTCATGTTTCTATGTTACGGTCTAATACCGAATTTATTCGAATGAATAATCGAAATTTTTATTTGGATGAATTATAAAATGAAGCGAAAAAATAATGCAATAAGAATAATAAAAAATTTTATTTAAGAAATTTTGTCAAGTAATAAGTTCATGTTATATCGAGGCATAGGAAACAAAATCAAAAGAATGTATGTTGATATAGAGAAACGTCTAATGATAACTTGATGAATTAAAATAAACTTTAAATAATTTGATTATGTGTAATTTTAATGTAAATCAGATACTTTTTTTATGAATTATTAAAGGTTTTTCTTACTTCCAATAGCAGTTCAACAATGAGAAAAAAATCTACAGTTAAAAGAGATTGATCACTTTGTTTGATCATTTCATGTAATTATTTAATAAAATATTGATTTTACTTCTCATAACTAGACATCTCCCCTTTTGTCGTTACCATTATCATTCATATTCTTATTCTTACTTTTTTTTGCTACTAACTTTGAAATTCATTAAAATTAGAAATTTTGTTTTAATCATATTGTGTACATTTGAAACTAAATATCATATAATTCTCAACTATTTTATCCGATATTGATCGCCTATCAATTTTCCTGTTCGTTGATTGATAGATGATGATTTTAAATGTGTATCATCGATGACAGACTTCAAAAGAAAATGAATCATATATATACGTAGATATTTCAATTCATGAATTGAATGTTTATAATAATAGAAGGTATGATGTCGGCAATAGTGTCGGATGAATACAATATATAGTCAGTACACGCGACAGACAAACTAACATTCTGTTTGTGCCTAAGGCGTAATGACACGCGTACTCATCATGAAGATCGATGATGGAAAGAACAACTTTGATCTTTTAAATGCGTGATCTGATGTGTACATTTGATAATAAAAAACAAATAATGTGCTATGGTCTTCGTAAATGATTTTCTTTGTTCTATGCAATCATTCTTTGCTATATTTTTATTTTTAAAAGAATAGTATGTGTGAATATATTGATTTTTATATACTAAAAGAAGGTTGTCATTTAGAGGTATTATTTTTGAATAGTATTGGATAATAAAACTGCAACTACACATTAATGAATAATAGGTATATCTATTTTAGATCATTTTATTTAATAGTTGAATGCGGTAATATATGGGGATGGAGAAAAGCAAAAGGAAAGCCAATGGTGTTTTTTTTATATACAAGTTTATTGTTCCCCGTAGGGTAAACAGATTACATAACAAGTTAATAATAACTTATGAAAAGTGAGAAAATTTTGAAATCTTTTTGTCTGTATATATTTAAAAATAGAAACTTCACCAAGGACGTTCTATATGAATAAGATAAAAAAAATGAAGAAGAGTGACACAGAACAACTATATACCTAGTATATAAGAAGAGAAATGAAAAAGGAAAAAAAATACATGTATTGGTACAAGAATAAATCATTTATTGAAATACAATTTTAACAATAACTATTCTGTGTAATTCAATGTTTGTAATAAGACATTAAAAAAATGATGAAGAGTATCGGTACTTGAAGACAAATCTTTCTGTCATGGATGATGCTTTTTAAATATTTCATATTCTTTTTTCCATAAATATTACAGAATGTAAACCGATCAATATTCAAATCGTGTGTTCGCACTGTTAAAGAATTCGAGAACAAACTATTTTTTCTAAAACCCATTGACTTATAATAGATGCGATTTGGAGATGTTACTATGAAGTATGCCTCCCAAGTTTGACGAAACCGATGTTGTTAGCGATGCACTTGGTCGAGTAGTCATTTACGATAGTATACGATAAAAATAGTTCGTAAACGATCGCTCCTAGAATCCGCAACGTTTAGCGCCTAGGATAAATCAAGAAAAAAATAATCAAGAAGTTTTTTAAATAAAAACTCAATACTAACCTTTGCATATGGAGTCAAGTATATCTCTTGATTCACAATATTTTTTGACTTTAAGTTTGTGTAAAGTTTCTAATACCAAAATTGTGCATTTTATGTGGAGATCCACTTGATCTCGATAATTTTTGAATGCCTCTTGGTTACCTTATTGTTGGCTTTTGTTTCTGTATTGATTTGGACTTGCAACTCTTTAGATCATTGTTTACGATTCATCTTATTCAGTTCAATGATCCACATTGGAAAAAAAATATAATGAAAAATTATTAAATCTTAGCTTATGTTGTTTTTGACCTGGGTGTTGAAAGTATTAATATAATAGCAGTACTCAATCATTTAGGTGAGAATGATGGTAATCTAAAATCAACAATAAATTTGCTCCTCTGTACCAAACATGATCAGATAGCATTCGTATAAACTTGTTTTTCAGAGTCTTTTATATAGTAAGGTATGTCCTCTTTTATCGATCTTAGTCGACCTTTATTTCATATTAACGAACCATTGTTGTAGGAATTATCTGTCGATTTTGTATAATAACTAAGTAGAGCATTTGTATACCCTTCGGTCATCATTAACATATTTTCTATCTTCGAATTCTTTAACAGTCTGTATCACTAAATTTGTACATTCTTTTCGAAAGTTCGTTTGATCTTCATGAGCATTTTACACGTCTTGATAACCTAGCTTCTCTTTCGCTTTCTGCAAACCATTTTGGGCTTACAAGTAATTGTTTCGTTGTTCGCGACCCAATACATTAAGATCAATCGCCTTCTTTGACAAAATAATAACAAAATAATGAATAAATCTTAGTTTACATTATTTTATACAGCTTTAATTTTTGTTCAATTATTCATTTATTACTTTTTCTTCGGCAGTTCACCCGTGACTATTTTGTTTCAAGTTCACTCCGAATTAAACAGACGATTTATTGTGGTCTATATTATAGCATGTGTGAAGTATATCGTTAGTTATTAGAAACAATCGGATGAAATAACGCCAAAATAACACAGATACTTCATCAACAAGATTATAATAAAATCTAAATAACATTATTGGAACATTGTTATTTGTTACTGAAAGATAAATATAGCTCTCATGATTTTATTGTTCAAATCTGAATTAATAGCGATGATGGTCGAAAGGTCATATTCGGTTGTTCATTTCTAATAGTCATACGATAGAGGACTTAGATGCAAAAAGAATGGATGAAATAAAATACCCACATTCACATTCTATATTGTATTTAATCTCATTATAACAACTAGTTTTACTACATTTAAAACAAATTTAAAACTCATTCCATCCGTTGTTTATACCTATTTTATTATTATTATTATTAAATTGTTCAAAAATCCTACGCATTCATTTATTATAATCATTTTATATATGGTAATTTTTGTTCAATTCAAAAAAAAAAGAAAGTCATGATTTGAATAATCAAGAACAAACAAAAAAATAAAATTCTTAATTTGACAATCATAGTATAGACTTAATAGTTAAGCAATAATAATCAAATTATATTAAAAAAAAAATATGTCAAATATTTCTAAAAATACTTTTCTCGTTCATTTTTTATGGTAATTTCATGTAAATATTCAATAATCAATGACAAAAGCATGCCAATAAAAAAAGTCTTATTATTTGTCATAGTTGATTGATTGAATTAATTTTAGTATGTATAATTTTGATGAAGGTTATATAAGATAGAAATTAATCAACTTTAAGAAAATAGACAGAAACGATTGTCTTTTTATTTAATATTAATTATTATCTATTGAATTTCAGTAATATGAATTATATCAGTTGTAGATAACTACACGAACGATTGTATTCAAATTTCTTCTACGACTAAGAAACTTGTTTCAAGTTTTGATATAATGCTTATAGCATTTAATAAACATAACGACAAATCAGAAAGACAACTTATGGTCACCGTTAATATGAATATTTATTGAACTACATTACAGTACATATGATACACGTTAGTATAGTGAAAGTTAGTTAAGAGAACAGATGAAAAGATAATAGTGAAACGAACGATACTGGAATTATCAAAGTAGAACTAAATAGGCCTAAGAAACAATCATTCAGTTATATTATAATTATGAAAACAATAAAATACAAAATGTTTCTATTACTTTCTACTAGAATTCATAATAACTTCATCAATAGATTAAATATATTATCAGCTATACCTAATCTCTTGGAATAGAAAGAGCGTATGATCAATTTATTTCGGCAAATTCTGCATCCGAATGTTTAAAGAAAGAAAGGTTAATAAAAGCTATTCTTTCAGTATTATTGATTTCATATTGAAATGATACTGTTGTCGATTTTTTTTAAAAAGAAATTAAAGAATAATAAAAAAATATTTCATTTACTTGAAACATGAAAACAAAACGAAAACATAATATATACGAAAACAGAATCCATGTGAAGAATTTCATATAGAAATTTAAAGTATTTTTCAATGTATTGATAAATATAATGGATTAAAAACAAAGCTGAGTATATAAAATGTTTACTTTTATAAGTATTGATCAGATTTCACTTACTAATCTTTTTTCTCGACTTTGTCCATTATACAAACAATAATATTTTGCTGCTTTCCTGTATTGTTTGTAATAAAAAGAAACATTCTTCTTTTTTTTTTTGATTTAAAAGTTTTCACATTTTCTTATATTGTTGTTAAGTGAAAGAGAATACAGCCGAACGATGACGACTATAGCAAGCGAACAGAGAAATGGGCATCCGTTTTAATGCTGATGGCAATCGCATACATAACCTTGTTTGTATATGTCAATCGTTGTTACTAACAACAGAAAAAAAAGAGAGCATTTAACTAGCTGTATGTTGAAATAAAATTATATTTTCAATATTTTAGATTAAGATGAGTGTTCAATCAAAAAGTGTTACACCAAAACAACAAAATCGAATGAATCGTCTTAGTACTTCGTATACAGAAGGAGTTAATGATACTGATTTTATAAAGCCAAAAAATCCTCGAGATGTTTATCTATATAGATTTCTTGATAAAGATTTATTAAGACAAACTCCCTCAACAAATGCATGTAAGAATATTAAGAATAGAAATATACAATATACAAAAATAATATTATTTTTTTATTATACAGCTACAAATACTCGTAGTAAAACCAGTTTAACGAATGAACTTCTTCAACGTTATAAACAAAGTATGGCACCAAGTAGACCAGCTTATCGTTCAATACTTACTATTGAAGAAGCATTAAATCCACCTTGGGCTTTGAATTTTTACATAAAACGACAGCCAGCTACACCAAATTTTGTATCGAATTCAACGGATGGTATGTAAAAAAATAATCTCATTTATGATAGATATTATGACTAAATTAGATTTATTTTTGATGAAAAAAAGAAAATAATATTATACATTAATTAAAGAAGACAAGATATAATTGAAGAATTTCATGATATGTTAATGATCTTTTTTTTAGACATATTCATATTTATATCGGTTAATATTCAAAGAGAAAAATTATGAAATATTCTTATTTTTATAATGTATGTCTAACAATATGAGAAATAAAAATTTGGAACATGCATTTAAATAGTAATTGTTGATTCATTATAAATACTATTTTTATTTCCTCTCTCTCTCTCTCTCTCTCTCTCTCTCTGTCTGTCTGTTGTTCAATAAAAACAATGCACTTAGAAAAAAAGTACCTCGTTTTTTTCTCTTTAGCACTAGTACGAAAACAACCACCTCGTCGATTAGTGAGCGCTCCACTCGCTCGTTCACCTTCTCCGCCTCCAGCTTTAACTATACCTGAACCACGTCTCGTAACTGTTTCAAATCAGGTCACGACAACAAATTCACCTACACTCAGAAGCCGTTCATCGTCTGCCTTTGGACATCATGAAAAGACTCATTCAACCGATCGTTCATCGTCTGCTTTAGGACATTATGAAACGACTCATGCAAGTGATGGTAAAAAACGACGCCGCAAACTTAAGCCAGTTCAATTATCAACTATGGAAAATTATATGAAATTATCTATTGAAAATATTCATCAAATACCCGAACAAATTAATGAAGAACAAACTGAACAACCCGTACAAATTATCTTTACAGAAGCTCAACCTTCGTCTATTCCGCCTCCACCTGTTTATATATATAAAAAATCAGCAACTTGGTGCCCTGATGAAAGTTCATTAGCTCCACTTCGTCAATCCGTTGAAGGAAATGTTTCACCAGCGAATCCACATTATGTTCATCGTCCAGGTGTTATTTCCGTTGAAAATGTTGAGAAAAGAACATTAAAAACAACTTCACCAATAAAAAAAACACGAAAACATCGACATACTCAAGACAAACAAGATGAACCAATACTTACATTAGCACCAATGCAACCAAAAACAAAAATATATGTTGAAACTGAAGGTATCAAATTAACATATGATCCTAAATTAACACTTGATGATAAATCACCAAATCTTAGTAAATATCTTATTGATGGACGATTATATTTAATCAAAGATCATCGATATAATGTTTTGAATAATGTCGATTCAGCAACAATACAAAAATATAATCAAAATTTACTGTAAGTTATCACAAGATTTTATTTTTCTATTTTAAATACTTTCTTTCAAATAGTATATCACCACGTCCTAAATATTATCAAACAGTACCCATTGATAAATATCAATTACCTAAACCATCACAAGATGTACATTATAATGCATCTGAAACATATTTTTATAATACAATACCGAAACGTCCAACTCGATATGTTATTCATCCAAATTTTATATCCGAAAATCTTAATGTTAATAGAGTAGCACTCGGACAACGACCACCAACAACAACGATTTATGCATGAAATAAACTAATATGTATTTTTCTCGGTGATCTTCTTTTCTCGTGAGTTTTTAATATATAAGGCAAAAGAAAAAAAAAGCTCAAGTATTTATTACTTCAATTTTTATTACATTTATTATTATTATTATAATAATGAAGATATATTAAAAAAAAAGAACATAGAATTATAAGAGCAATGTGATGAAACCAAATATTTAACATCTGCTTGTTAGATTTGCAAAATGTGATAGTATTTCGATATATCCATGTATTTGCTCTTCATAATATTATTATGACGACAGAAATTAATTGATGAGAGATTTTAATGGGCTGTCTTCCTGTTGACATCATTGTATTTCTGTTATTATTTACGGAGGAAATGTAGAACTGCTTAACTAACAATAACACATGCTAGGACAATTTGATCTGAATATTTTTTTAGTATAAAAATAAGTCAATGTAATTTTAACATAACTCGTTTCAGTCTGTGCACATCATAAGTCGTTTGATATTTTTTCGGATACATAATTATCGTAGCACTTTAATAAATAGTTTGAGCAAAAAAAAGAAGATGAAAAAAAAAAGAATAGAAAAGAGAAAAAAAAACAAAGACGAGAGAGAGAGAAAGAAAAAGAAACTCAAGCGATAGTAAATAACTAGATCTATCAAAAAACAAAGTAGACAAACGAGAAAAGATGTTGATTGAAAAAAGTATGAGAATAAAATCTGACAAGTTTATTCTTATCCTTCCGTTCGTCCACCTACTCTTCGTAACTTGCAAAGACACCTGCATATTACTTTCGTCATAAATTAACGTACGCAGAAAAGAAAAACAACACTATATTAATATTGTGGTAGGTGAAAAATCTAATATCACATCGTAAGAAAACGCACTATATAATCAATACTTTTCGCGTCAACTATTTGTACTCATCTATTATATGTATTAGACCAGAAAAGAAAATTCTCTAATATAAGCTTAGCCCACACAGTATTTCTTTTCATTTATAAATAGATGTATTTATATTATACGACGAAATAACAAAGGTAAAAAATTAAAATGCTTAAAGCGATAGTTTTTATTCATTTATTTTTTTTATTGTCGTTTATATTGTTATAAAACTATGTAAATAGATTTTATTTATTTATTTATTATAGTTAAATGAATGCAAAAATATTTTGTTGATATTCTAATAACAACAAATAAGATTTCTAGTATAACATTGTGTTTAAATAATTGTTTCGCTTCATTTTACATAGAAATTTTATCGATTCTTTTCTTCTTCCTCTTCGTATCAGTAACAAAAATAGAACAAATTAGGCTTTTTTTTTGTTTTGTTCGGAATAAATGAGTAGAGTCATTAATAACATTAAGTTCGATGACAACTGTATCTCTTGTTTTTTTTGTTTTAGATACAACTATTTAGTTAATTAAATATAAAATTAGATTTTTTCATTTATTTGAATATAATGATTTTCTTTTAATAGATATTTCCAAGTATGCACTTTATAAGTCTAAATCGTTTCTATTATTAACTGGAGTTTTTTTTTATTTAATAGAATATTGTAGTTTCTTATAGATAACAGTGTAAAAGGATTTCTATTGACGTAAGACACGTAATAAATAATTTAGTTTTTCATTTGAAAAAACACGTTAAAATGATGTCGTTTTGTTTAAATATAATAAAGAAAATTTTATTTTACTAATGAACTTAAAGTAGAAAAGAAATGAAAGAAAAAAAAATAGTTCTTCGGAAATTAGACTTTTATCAATTGTGCGTGAATTACTTTTCATTCAAAATTTGAGTGTGTGATAATATTTTTAAGAAAAATTGTTTTTATTTGTCTTGACATGATATTAAAAAGAAAGAAAGAAAGTTGTAAGTTTATTCATCTGTACCTAACGAACTGTATTAGACAAAATATATTTTCCACTCGATTATTTTGCATAGTAGTTATAATATATAAATAAAAGAAGTATGTTTATACGTCATTGCATTCGATAGTATATTAGTTGTTACTGAATGCAAATATATTTATGACAATAACTAATTATATTATTTACTTTTTTGCCTATTTTATTAGATTTCATCGCAAGAAAAACTCGACCGAATGGGCTTAAAAAATATGTCATATTATATATATATGTGTAATTATTATTTGATTAAGAACCTCTCATTAGTTGTTGTTATTTTCTTCGTTTTATATAGAAGAAGAAAAAAAATTCTAGTAGATTGACACATAGACATTTGTCAACGAGAGATCTCTTTAGTTTTGTTTTTTATTACTTGCATTTATTTCGTTATGCTTTTTATAGCTAATTTCCTTAAAGTATTCATATTTTTTAGTTCATTACTCATGTTAAAAAGTAAATGTCATTCTCCTTCTTCTCCTTCATCCTTTTTTCTTTTCCCATTATTTTTACTAACAATATCTTGCTTGATTAGATAGACCCGATATTTCCTGTAATTTTATATGATTAAAATCTTTTTGATTAGAAGCAAAAAAAAAAAAGTAGTCACTTTCTAAACAAAGTCTAGTTTAGTTTATTTAATTATTAATCATCTGTATTTCTTGAAAAAACGGAAATTAATATTAACAATACTGATCTTTTCGTATTGAATGAACCATTCATAACTTATTCATAGATATTAATAATGCTTGAATTATGTTTAAGTATGCAAAAAGAAAAAAATCTAATATAATAATAGAATATGAATTTCTCGAATATATTGAGAAATTGTAGCTATCTATATTATTTTCTTCTTAATCTTAGTTGATCTCTTTTCTTATACTATTTGTCATCGTCATCGAAATTAAGTCGTCGAGATAAGACAGTAAATGATGTACGCTTCTGGCTTATTTATATATAGTCAAAATATTTCTAAATGATAGATTTTCTGTGCTTATAGTCAATATACATTAGAAACTAAAAGAAAACAGAATCCATAGGTCTGTCTTTACTAAGCATCTGTTAATGAGTAGGAAAATACTGTTTGAAGATGAAGTTACATATTTGTTTCTATCTTATATAAGCATCTATATACATGTTCTCATAAGGTCATCATATTTTCTTTTTCCTGTTTGTCTTCTCGGCTTTTTTTGGAACAGAATTATCAGGAGAGTTAGTTATATGAAATTGTTTGATAATTCAGAGTATTCTAATTTTGACGTCCCAAAGGAAATGTAAGAAAACTTGTCGATCATCTTTTTTCAATATTAATATTTTATTGCTTCCAATCATTGAGAATAAACAGAACTTAGATTGATACTTTAAAAATAGAAAGGTTAGTTCATTCAAAACTTAATAAACTCTTTTATTAAAAATTTAAATATTTAGAATAATTAAGTTAATTACGAATAATATTTTTATGTTAAAAATTCTCAATCTAATTAACTCAATTCTAATGTCAAATTTAATTCGCCTACTTCTTATTTTTATTTTTATCTACATCTGTTTTATAACAGACTAAAAATATAAAAATAGCATATTTTTAATAGAAAATATTCATGATATAATCGATATTTACTTGCTTCGAGCTAATTTCTAAGTGTTATTATGCGAATCACTAATACATGTTATCCGATTATTTTTAGTTTACATGAGTCGAAGAGAAGATGAAACGAGTATAAATAAATTTAATAATTTACACATAATTATGAGCAAAAAAATAAAAAATGTTTTTTTTCTTTTTTCTAGAATAACTATATATATTCTTCTTTTTTGGTATTAAAATAAAAATAACATGAAAGATGGATACAACAACAGTTTCAACAAGCTCACGAATGAATACTGATCAATTTGGTGTACAATTAAAACATGCTTGTTTGTTATTTCGATTTTATTCAAGTATTATTCTTGTTATTGTTGGTAAGAGAACATAAAAATCTTGAATTAAATGTTTTTTTTCTAATGATATTATTTTTATTTTTAGGTATGATTGGTTCTTTATTATCAATAAAAGTATTTTCATCAACAAAAATTCGACGAAATTCATCTAATGAATATCTTATAACTAGTAAAGAAAAAAATTAAATTTTCCAGAATAAAATAAATAGAATGTTTCTATTTTTAGTGAGTTTTATTGTGGCTTTACTTCTATTTAATTTCTTTTGTGATGAAGTACTTCGATCAATTGTACATGACTTTAAAGTTGATTTGCCATTAAATCTTGTTGACTTATCAGGTCCACTTTGTAAATGTAAGTACTAATATTAAAAGACGATTAATGTATAAAGAAAAGGAAAAAGCTTTTTATAGATATTAATAATTAATTAAATATAAAATCTGATATTTTGTCAAACATAGTCATGAAAAGAGTGCATCTGAAATATTACGCATAACTTTCTTATGTTAAGAATAATGAGAGTAATGTGAGATAAGAAGGGATTTTTTTACATACAAAAAAAACAACGAAGATAAATAATGATAATAATCGAAATATTGTTTCCGCAGTATAATAAATGAATTCTTTCAAAATGACTTGTACGTGGCATTGTTATTTAGATACTTCATATACTTTGAGTACTCAAATAACTCTGAATAGTTATTGTCAATCTATGTAATTGAATCTAAGTGCATATTTAAATCATATGTGATAATGTACTAGAATAAATCTTTTATGTATATATATATATATATTTATAGAATCAATCATTAAACTTTAATTTTATACTTCCATAGGTTCAACATATTTTCGTCATACATTACGTTTTGCTGCTCATTGGATCGTTGTAGCTTTTACATTAGAACGTCTTATTGTTGTTTATTTTCCTCTACAAACATCTGTTTTATGTAATCCACGTTGTGCTCGACGAATCTGTTTATTTATATTGATCATATCATTTTTATTACCAATTTATTCATTTATTATGTCCGATGTACATATGAATGAAGATCAACAATTACCTGAATGTGATATAATGGAAAAATTTAATCGAATTTATTTTTATTTAACTATTATTTATGGAAATTTAACATTAACATTTCCAATATTTATTGTTTGTATTGTAAATATATTAACTGTTCGACAATTATTACGTGCAGGACGTTTACGAAAAAAACAACAACAATTAAGGCAAACAAAAAGATTTGAAAGTTCAAGTAAAGAATATGTAAATATGATTGTTAAAAATCAATTAGAAAATGATAAAGTAACATGGATGCTTGTTGTTATATCAATAACATTTGGTATATTAAATTTTCCTTATTTCATTCTATGGTTAATTTCATGTCTAAGAAGTGTACGCGGTAAACCTCCATCAGCATATCTTGATTCTGCAAAAATGGTAGCCGAAGTTTTTTATTTACTCAATTATAGTCTATATTTTTTTCTCTATGTTATATCGCGAAGAAGTTTTCGTAAAGTTTTAATTGAAAAAATGCGTTGGCGTTGTGATTGTTTTGATCAATGGCGTTTAAATGAAATGCGTATTGATGCAACATTACGTTCACAACAATCACCAAAACAAACAACAATACGAAATGGACCACATAATACAAGTATAACAAGTCGAACATCAATAACACATTTACGAACTAGTTCAACACGTTGTGTAAAACTAAATCATAGTCGAAAAATTTTCAATAATGATTCGCCAAATTCAGTAATCATAAATGATCAAACGAACGGTAGAGATTCGTGTGATTTGGCTAATATTGTATAAAATAAATAATTATTATTCTCTATTTTTTTTTGTTTTTGTTTTGCTTAATAGTTTTTATGTATTGTACTTAATCAAAATATTCTCTGTTGAGAAGAATTGATCAGATAAAAAAACATTTTAGTTTTATTTTTTGTTTTTGTTTGAAAGTTATACTAATATATATTTAAAAAAATCAAGCAATATTTTATTGTCAAATTGATTATTCTCTTTCTCGTAGAGAAGAGTCCAGTAAGAATAAATTGTTCGCAGGGTCAAAAAAACATCGAAAACTGATTTTTCAGAAAAAACATTTCTAGAGGTATTTCGAAGCAGGGACTTCGAATCTGATGTTAATTTTTTCAAATTCTTTTAGACAAAAGACTATTTTTTTAATATAAAATTTGACGAAATGGTTTTTGAGGTCGGGGAGCACGAATCTGGTGATAGTATTTGCGAGTTATATAAGCAAAAGGTCCCGTAGCATTGTAGAACGCCATTTCTACGAGAATGAGCTAAGCGAATCCTCAGATGAGCGTTACTTGTTAAGAAATAAATCTATTGATCGAATCGTAATATTACACATAGGATGAAACTTTTCGTTTGAAATATTTAACTATAATTATTTCTATTAGAAAAAAAATGATTGCTAATTGGTTAAATTATATATTTACGTGAAATTTCCCGTATCTAATTTTAGCGGTCTCTTATTTCATTCACAGACTTACATAATCAGCGTCAATCTTTTTTTTTTTGTTAGACTAGCAATGACGAAATAATATGTATATATAAGAGTGTTCTTCATCTTCTACAAGTATATAGAAGTCATTTGGGAATGAATAGTGATCCGTTATCATGACGAGTGTCATCTTAAAGACGACGAAATACACAGCAGGTATCTCTAAGTGTTAACGACGATCATTTCTCCTTCGTTTTCTCTTCTTGTTGTTGACGCAATCATGAAATTGTCAAGTTAAATGACGTTATATATACATACATTAATCCCTCTAGGCGTAGTTGTCTTGACAATCAACATAATTCAAAAAAAAGAAGAAGAATACTATACAGTTCGTTAGTTATCGATAGTGTATTTTAATTAATAAGGAAAAGGATTTCTTATATGTATACATAGGTAACATGATTAGATAATTCATTTATGAAAAAAAAAAAGATACACGTGTATCAAGCCGTAAGTATATAGTAGTAGTTATTTCGTCTTATATACATATTTAACATTTGCATCGAACCATGTTTAGTTGAAGATAGATACATAGTAAGTAGATTATTATGAAGATGAACTTTTCTTCTTCCTCTCTATTGCTATGCAAACAAACAGCATGTGCTAATGTCGATTAGTAGTCAAATCATTTCGTTACGGTGATTTGATCTATGTTATATATATGTATATGTGCGTGCTTATTTTCTCATTCATACGATTTTAGGATAGTCGAATGTTATAAACGATGCCAATCACTACTAACGAAAAAACATTTCGTGATTTATTGAAAAGAAGATCAGTGAAGTGTCACATTGAAGGAGAATGTGGACATCATTTAACTTTATTTTGTTTATTATCAGTTGTTATAATGTGCGATATTTGAAACAAAATATCTCTTCCTTTTTTTTTTATTTGTTGATACCTTCTTGACACATTCAATGTATCATCTTTTTCGGACAAATACTCATCTTCAATATTCAATTAATCGCACTTATATATATAATGATAAATATCGGTGCTTAATTTTAATATAAATTTCAATTAATTATACTCTATATTGTTGTTTTTCATTCAAATTTTTAGTAATAAAAAACCGCAGATTGAATTCATAATTTTTTACAGATAAGATTAATACTAAATAGGTTCATATGATGAATCAATTAGTAATTACACTACGTGCTCTATCTACTATACAACACATCATCTATCAATTAAAAACATGACTTCGTTGTAATACATTTCGTAGTAATGGTGATTCAAAGATAAACTTTTATTGGAACGCTGACTTTAAACATAATACTATGTTGATTATATTTTCAAATCTTATCTATTAGAAAAAGTTTTGTCTAATTAACAAAACAAAATTCTTTCTTTTGATAAGTCAAATGTTATCTCGGAAATGTTCAAAGTATTTCATTTTCAAAAGGGAAAATTTTATTTTATGTATTTCTCTATTCTAAGACATAGAAAATGTTTCGTATATGATCTATTATTTCATTGAAGGAATCAAAAATGATTGGTTAGAATAAAAAACGAAAAAAGAGAGAGAGAGAAAGAGAGAAGGAAGGAGATTAATGATCAAGTCGCATCATTATCACTTCTGCCACTCGAAATATTGAATATGGATGAAAATTTTCATCGATTACAAAGTAATGAAAAGCATCAAAGGTTCGTATCCTGCTGAAAACTTCTGTTTGTTCCCTTTTTTTATTCTTCACACATATGAATTTTTATTTTAATGATGATTAGTTTAATCATTGCTCATATATTTCTCATATATTCCTTCACACTTATTCTGTTCATTTAGCAACAATATGGAACAACCTCTCGATTTAACTAAAACAAATACAAAAATTCCATTTACAATTGAATATTTAACATCAAATATTCCGTATCAAAAACCTAAATCAGTATTTTCTAATCAACAATTACCATTAATTCCATTAGAAAATAAACCATCGTATTTTAATTCAAAATTAAATGAACATGTTGTACCTAATGTTTGTAGTCCATCAATAAATGTAAGTTAAATTTTAATAGAAGTTTTTTTTAAATTTAATTTCTATTTATCTTTAAGACTGGTAATTCATTAGAAATAGTCAATGGTGGACATGGGATTAAAAATCCATTATTTGATTGTGCAACAGAAGCACTACAAATTAAATACGGTATGAAGAGAATATTGAATTAGTTTCACTTGTTTTTTTCTCATGAAGTTAACGGAATGATCAATAAATCATTTTTAATGTTTTTTATCTATTGAAAAAGAAATAATGTTAATTATCCATTGAGTTTTGTTTTTTTTGTCTTGCTAAGTCAATTACAAGTGTTTTCTTTGAGAGAGAGACTAATCAAATAGAATATTTATTTCATCACGCGAGGAAAAAACAAGAGATAATGAGAAGAATAAAATAAAAAAGTCATGTTTCATTTACACTGATATTTCATATGAGTGAGATAACTCAGTAGCCGAATCAGTGAGCATCAGCGGCGCAGCGTCAATTTTTTAGGGGACGCAATTGCTGACCTGTTCCTTGCTGGCGCGCCACCCATGTCAGTGAGGGGCGGCAGCCATGATGAAAATCTGTTTTTGAGACACATTGAAGGTAGTGTAGTATATTTTTACTGAGAAAAAAAGAATCGCCAATCGCTCCGTCCGACACTGAATAACTATGCATTGATTTGTTTACATATGCGAATTCGAGTACATATATAATTTAATCAGAGTTTTCTTAAAATCCTAAAATTCCACTTTTTTTTGTATAGAGAAAAATAATTATTATGCAATTGTATCAGATATCTACAAGCCAATAACATAGCCTATACAGTATCCTAAATATATCAATCGAATTGTACAGCAGCGTCTAGATTGCGTCAACTTAAAACACGATAAAAGATTACAGAACTGAAATAGCCTTTCTGTATTTGTATAGACAATTTTTTAAAACAAATGATTTTATATTCCAAATACATATATATATATTTCATTCTTTTTTTTGTTAGCTAATGCAATAAATCATGGTGCTGAATTTATATGTGGTTTATGTCTAAAAGGTTTTAAACTTCAACGTCTTCTTAACCGACATTTAAAGAATCATAGTCAATTAAAACGATATTTATGTACATTTTGTGGTAAAGGTTTTAATGATACATTTGATCTTAAACGACATACACGAACACATACAGGTTTTTATTTTTACTTTAAAAGACATCTTTAATTTATATATTGTTTAAAAAAGGTGTTCGTCCATTCAAATGTGACCAGTGTGACAAAGCTTTTACACAACGTTGTAGTCTTGAATCTCATCAACGAAAAGTTCATGAATTAAACCATGCATTTGGTTATAAAATTCGTCGAAATAAATTATATGTATGTGAAGATTGTGGACATACATCAACTGATCCAACAAGCCATTATGAACATATTAAAAAATTTCATCCATATTCACCACTTGTTCATCGATATTATGATAAAAGACAATTTAAATTTAATTCAAATTCATCTTTATCTGTTAAAAGTTCATCAGATAGATCGTTTCTATCAGATGATGATCATCATATTCAATAAAAATGTATAGAAAGTTTTTTTTTCTTCTTCTGTTAAATTTATGTCTTTATTATTGACAAACTTATATATTTGTGTACTGACTTGGAATGATTGAATGTGTATTGTTAGTAGAAATTTCAATGTCTTACTTATTTGATTTAATAAAAAAAAATAAAACAGTTGTAGAATAAGTTCTTTTCGTTACTAAAGAATTGAAATATTGAAGTTAGCTTGAAATAATTTGAACGACGAAAAAAAAAAACTCTTCAACTGTTTAGACTTATAACTATTGTCTCATGAGATACGATGGCTGTAAAATTAAATTATTATAATGAATGATCTTTTCTCATGAGTTCATGAAAAACGTTGATGGATAATAAATTCGAACAATAACTCACAACACAGGCAGACATGATCTTCAAAAAAAAACGCGTTCAAACAGTGTATATACGGCGCTTTAACGGTAGACCATTGTAAAAACGCCGTTTTGACAAATTCTTAAGGAGTTTCTACGCAACTTTTTAGAAAGCGTTCTACTGCGTTAAAATTTACTCCGTAGTTACTCGCTGAAACGCGGAATTTAACGTGGGTTTACACATTATTTTGTGAGTTTTAACGCGTTAATCACAGTAGACAAAATTAACGGAGATAAAATCGTAAAGATGTGTGCTTTTCCGGATTTGATTTTCGTTAAAATTTAAAAATTTCTACACGTATTTCTCCGTTTTTGTTTGAGTTTTGTCTGTCTGGAAAGTACTGAAGACCTCAAGAATGAAATATTCTCATGCACTGTATATAATCTATAGAAAAGGTGAAGTTAGGAATAACAATACTCTTGTATGTCTTTATGTTCACTAAAAGTTCTTTTGAAACTGTTGTAAATTTTTGACGAACGGGAATAGTACTAGTTTCACCTGAAGATCGATGACAGCGGATGCAATTAATTCCCACTAAAAATTTGATTACATATAAATGAAAAAAAAACCGAACCAGGAAAGTAAATATGACAGATCAGTCGATCATTAGTCTATTCTATTTATAATGTCTTTAATCATTAGATTCCTTTTGTTTCATCTACCATAAAATACATATGAATTTGATAGAAAGAATATAAACGATTGAAAGTGCTATTAATGCAGCTTTAATGCACACACTATTCATATATATAAGTATATAATATAGTAGCTGGTACAAATTATTTATGCAACATTGATGATGAGTCTTGCTTGAAGCTGTCTTATTAAAACATTCCAGGTTTTTCTTTTTTTTATACTAAATTTATATACGTATCTCCTGAAGGATTTTGAAGTATGATAATAACAATTTTGTTTAATACCTCGATTTTTCTTACTTTTTAACATTCAGGTAAATTAATCTAATAGAATCTTATAAGATTCAACATGCAATAGAGAAGCTAATGCTTTATTTCTAATTACTACTTATTTAATTAGTGTTGATATACAATATTACGATTTAATTTTATGGACCGTTAGATCCTGATCGAATCATTATTAAGTCTCTCTGTTGAATTTAATCATCTGAGCATTATGTGATATACGAGCTCTTTTTTCTTGTCTTTAAAATGACAATTATTCAGCGGCATCTATCGGAAACTAAACTGATATTTATTTTCAATTAAAAATTATTTAATTTATTTTCTTTGATCATTTTTAATAGAAACTAAATTAAAATAGAATAAAGTTATTTCATCTAGCTTTTATTTATATTTTTTCATTGGTAGTATAAAAACAGCCATAGAAATACTGTACCTAATTGATTATTCATCTTTCTTAAGGCAATAATCTACATGCATACTAGAGACATACTCGGATCGGATCGAAAAGAAAACAAATTTTTTAATATTTTCCTGTTCCTATTGTTTGAGTTCCATAAATTTCTGTTCGTTTTTCTTCATGATACATACATTTTAGAATAAATATCAATGGAAGGACATAAAATAAAAACCAAATCAAAATTCAAAGTACGCCATCAAAAACATAAAGTATTTCGTGCCAATGATCCATTACTTTCTGTACTTATGTGGGGTGTTAATTTTACCGTACGTATATATATATTTAAAAATAAAATCATAGAAAAAAAAAATTAATTTTATTCAGATTCATGAATTGGAAAATGTCAATATTCCAGTTATGCTTTTACCTGAACATTTCAAAGCGAATGTAAAAATTCGTATTGACAATCAGAATTTTAATAAGTACGTAGATAACAAAAAATTTTAATATATGTTATAAATCACTATTCTATTTTTATCTTTGATAAATACATTCCGAAAGGAAGGATAATTTTCTCATTATGAAATTATATAGATATATAAATACATCAAAGATATAATTAAAAAATTGAAATTTCAAAAGTGGGAGGGGATAAAATTTTGCCAGAAAGTGCTGTTATATAATTTTCTGACACATATAACGAATTTTGCCTGAAAAAAGTGTTTTTGGCAAAAAAATGGTGAAAAGAGCATAAAAAATAAAGTTTTTAACCAAGTTTACAGCAGAAAGACAAATAGGTTCTCGATTTTTGGGGCGGGCTAGACCCCTTCTCAGCCCTTGTTTTCATAAGTGGAAAAATATCTTTGTACTTTGGAATGTGAACTATGTTAGTTAGTCATAAGCATCAACTTAGTTTTTATATAAATTAAATGATTCTTTTTTTTAGGGAAGTTATGCCAAGTCATTTTAAAGTAAAAGAATATTGTCCACTTGTATTTCGAGCTTTTCGAGAATATTGGAAAGTACATGATAATAGTTTTCGAGTAAGTTAATTTATTTGATGTTTCTTTTTATATAACAAAAAAAAATAAATTTATTTATTAGGATTCTCTTACAGAACCACCTATACCTTTAAATGAATCAATTAAATCAAATATAACATATTATCAATCATATGATCGTCGTTTTGTTCTTAAATGTATTTCAAAAGAAGATGTCGAACAAATTCATAATATTTTACCAGAATATCATAGGGTATGTATTTTAATCCGATATGATCTTATGAGATCAGTATTTTATCTAGGCTTTTTCTTTCGAGAGTGCGATAGCGATTTCCGGGAGGGCGAAAACCTAATTTCTGGAAGAGAAATACACAGTATAAGCACAAAAATTGCAATTTTAGGGAGGGCGCCGCCATCCTTGCCCTCCCTCTAGATAAATCACTGTATGAGATGAACAAAACATTACGATCTAAAGATTTATAGGAAATCCCCAACTGCTATTTAATCAATTATGATTCACTCGAAATTAAAAAAAACCTATATTTTACTTAGTTGGACTAAAAAACAAATCATTCAATTTTTTGAACAATAAATATTTAATCTTGTTGTCGTCTTCTATCTTAACTAATTAATACAATGCATTTATCAAAATTCATATAGAAACAGGAAAAGACATGTAATTACATCCGCCTTCTTTTGTTTCTTTTTAGCGAACCAAATATGATTTAACCATATAAACTCTTATAGAGTTTTATATATCCTATATAGTATCACGCAATATATATATATATATATATATATATACAATCGAGAGTGTTAATGCCCAGAGGCAACCCTTTTAGTATTAATCAAAAGAAAACTATTGCAATATTCATCATGTGATAATTTCGTCTGAGTTTTTCTATTTATTAGATAAAACGCTTAAAATGATCGGAAATGAGACTATCATGTATAATTGAAATTCGAAGAATATATATTTTTTTTCCTCTGACGATCCCGATCTAATCATTGCAAGTTTAAAGATTACGATGTTAATTCGATCGGTTATATCTCTAGTATTTTGTTTATGTTACGAACGGGAAAAATTCTTCATTTTCGAATTGGGATTATATCGGTCTTAATATCAGTGGCGGATTTAGGGGAGGGGCCATCGCCCCCCCCCCCTCCGAATTTTTTTTTGATTCTTTACAGCAAAAATAGATTCACACTACTTCGATTGGACTCAAAAAATAGCTTTTAGTCAAAATCGCCCCCCGTCCTTCCAAAATCCTAGATCCGTCACCGCTTACTATTAACATGAATTTTGACTTCTCAATTATTTCTATCGAAGTACCGAATTTTACAACAACAACATACTATAGTGAAAATAAATAAGGAAAAGCTGCTAGCTATTTTAAGACAGATTGATAATGACGCTTAAATACTTGATCATACTCAAAATTCGAAATGTCATGAATTGTTTGAAGTTTATTCCCTGATGAATTTAGATAATATTAATTGAAATTGACATGCTTTTGATGCACATCGATAATGGACTTAAATTAGATTTAATAGATCTTAAAATAAAGTTTAATTTTGTTGAAGTGTAACAATAGTGTGGAAAGTACATTATTATTCTAGTTGTATTTTATAGATCTTAAATATTTACAGTAAAGAATACTGATTAAAAGAATTGAAGCATCTCAACAAACAATAATATACAGATGTAGGTTCTTGACAAAAATTGTTATCGTCTATTTATAGACATATTCCGTTAACTCATAAGTATTCAATCATTTCGAAGAACTTCTTTCATAAGTAGAGCCAATCAAACTTAGTTTCTGAATAGAAATAAAACACTCAATAAATCAAGGTCATTCATATTTTTCAATTTATTTTAGTATATTGTCGAAACTCAAGGTGATACATTACTTCCTCATTATTATGCGATGTACAGATTAACCGTTGATGATAAAGAAAATTATATCTTGGTTATGCGGAATATATTATCAAGTAAATTAAAAATTCATTTTAAATATGATGTTAAGGTAAAAACAAATAAATCGAAATATATTTTTTTATTCATACTAAATTAATGTTCAGGGTTCAACTGTTGATCGAAGTGCAACCGATAAGGAAAAATTAAATCCATGTCCAACATTAAAAGATAATGATTTTTTAGAAAAAAAACGTATTATTGAATTAGGTCCTGATCAAAAACATATTTTTATGGAGAGACTTAAACGTGATGTTAATGTAAATAGAAATTAAATTCTAAATTCAGAATAATCACACTTATTATTTTAGTTTCTTGCTACTCAACATAAAATGGATTATTCATTACTTATTGGTATACATGATCTTGATCAAGGTGGTGTCGGTAAGAATTTAATTTATATAACAATATGAAAAACACTTATTTTCTTAGGACGTGAACGAAAATTGTCCGGTATAGATATGAATACATCGGATTTATCTGGAAATGATTCATCAGATGGATCTGGTAAATCAAATTTTTGATAATAAAATTGAAATTGAATATTTTTCTTTTGTAGAAAGTCCTACACATATAGGTGATGATATTTCTTTTGATGAACCATTTCGAATGCGAAGTTCTGAATGTAAATTAAGAAAAAAAATTTTTTTAATTTTATATTTATTTTTTTTGTTTAAAGCATCAACACGTCGAGAATTTTATAATCTTGGTATAATTGATATATTAAAAAATTATGGTATGAAAAAAAAGAGTGCACATGTAGCAAAAACAAAATTATCAGGTTCAGATGCCGATGGAATATCAACTGTTCGACCAGAAATATATGCGCGACGTTTTTTAGAATTTATTGATAAACATTTTATTTGAGATTTTTCGTCTTCTTCTTCTTCTTTTTTGTTTTTGTATTTTATATTTGCAATAGTGCCCTTTTCTTTTTTGTTCGTACAGTGTGTTTGAATGTTTAAATTCCGGTTGTTTGTATGTCTTGTTCATTTATTTGTTTTATTATGACCGGAGAATTACTACTGTTTAACATGCATGCGCGCGAGTAGTTCTAGTCATGTGTAACTCTTTATTAAACTCGAGTTTTCTTTGTTTTCCTTATTTCTATTCAGTTATGTATCGCTGTGGTTAATTGAATATATATTCGATGTTTTATGTGAAAGCGCTAGCGCCTTTCTATTTCTGTCTTCTTTACATTTATGGCTAGTTCGATGTTTTCTGATGGATTGAAAACTTAAATATACGTATATATATATATTTATAACATTATATATTAATCTTTTAAAACTATTTTCTATATTTATGGGTTGTTATGAAATAGTTCTTCGCTGAATAGACAATAGACGAACTTTGAGTAATAGGGAAATGCGTTAAACTTGCCACTCTGGTACTAGATAATGATCTTACTTAGGACAATGGAATCAATACTCGAATCATATTGTTAATGAGTCCTTAGGGTATGAAGTGGCAAGTGACTAGCTTTATTGTCTCTGTAAAAATGCTCGATTCTTCTTACAATTTTAAACTGTTACGAGTATTTATGATATAGTTGAGCAAGAACGTAATATTAATAAAAAGCATATTTTTTCTCTTGCGTTCTCCGTGAAAGTGGCGCATTTTTTCGTTCGAAAAGTACGAAGAAGTACAGCATATACCACTTATCGCGTAAATAAATAACCATTGACATCACACACTTTCACAGTCAGATACTTGTATCAACATTTATACAGTCATTTACTAATTCCTATATAGTTATCTAAAGATATATTATAACAAGTTGTTATTCATAGAATTCTTTTTGATATTTTAGTAAAAGATCAAATATGATTCCGTTTGTTGTCGATTTGGAAGATGAACGTGCCATTGAATTAGAATTAGTTGGTGGTAAAGGAGTAAATTTAGCGATATTATATCAACAAAAATTCTGTGTTCCTAATGCTTTTATCATTACAACTCATGTCTATGAATCTATTCTTAATAATCCGGAAATAAAAAATGCTTTATCAACAATCGATAATCTTAATATTGATAATATAGCTGAATTAGAAAATATTAGTAATCATATTAAAACTATAATTTGTAATATAACTTTACCAAATGATATAATCGATTTAATATTTAAATATTATGATAAATTATCCCAGGGAGCTAATAATACAAATCTTCATGTTGCTGTACGAAGTAGTGCTACAGCTGAAGATTTACCTGAAAATTCTTTTGCTGGACAACAAGATACATATTTACATGTAACAAAAGAAAGTTTAATTGAAAAAATTCAAGAATGTTGGGCCTCATTATTTACTGCTCGTGCTATATCATATAGAAAGAAATCAAATATTAATTATAAAATAATTCAACTCGCAGTAATTATTCAAGAAATGATTTCTAGTGAAGTTTCAGGTGTTGCATTTACAGCTAATCCTATAACAGGTTTTCGTAATGAAGTTATTATTGATTCAACATATGGATTAGGTGAAGCATTAGTATCAGGTTTAATTACACCAGATCATTATGAAATATTAACTGAAAATAATGAAATACGTCGAAAAATTATTGGTGAAAAATCTCTTCGTATTATTGGTAAAAAAAAATGGTGGTATTGAAACATTAATAACTAACGATAATGAAAGAGAATTAGAAGCATTATCTGATAAATATATTATTCAACTTAGTAAATTAGTTAAAGAAATTGAAAAAATTTATAATCATCAACCACAAGATATCGAATGGTGCTTTATGAAGGAAAATTTTTATATTTTACAAGTTCGACCGATAACAACTTTATTTCCAATACCACCCTATGCGTTTAATCAATCAGGTTTACGATGTATGATATCATTCGGTACTATTCAAGGATTTCTTGAACCTATAACACCATTCGGTGAAAGTACTGTACGTACATTACTTGGTCATTTCTTACGAAAAGTTGGTATTAATCGAAATACAACAACTGAAGATGATATATCTTCTAATCCATTACAACATAAAATATTTAAATCATCAAGAAATCGTTTATGGATTGATATAACTGGTATATTAACATCACCAATTCGAAGTATATTTAGTCTATCGATGATTGATACTGGAATGGATAAAATTATAAATCATATAAAATATTCCAAATCATTTCCAATAAAATCAATGTTTAAAACTTATATCTATTTAATGTTATTTATTATTCCTCTTATATTTAGATCAATACGAAATTTTATATTTCCTCGTTATGGAAAAAAATTATATATGGATCAGATGAATAAATATCATGAGTTTATTGATCGAGGTTTTAAAGATGAATACAATCAAAATTTTACGAATTGTGTTCAACATTTTCAAAGAATTTTATCGATATTGCCGTTACGTTTAATGCATTATGGTGCTAGTTGTGTTGTTCCTGCGATTATCTCGTTGAAAATATTACAAAAATTAAGTAAAAATCCAATGGATGCACTTGCCTTAACACGTGCTGTTGAATCAAATCCAACAACCGAAATGAATCTTATCTTATGGAAAATAACTATTTTAATACGAGAAAATGATCATATTTTAAAATTATTTCAAAATGAATCAACAATAAATTTAGTAAAAATGTACAAAGAGAAATTATTTGAGAAAAATATTCAATTCGAAATCGAAGAATTTTTTCATATTTATGGTTGTCGTGGTATTGGTGAAATTGATATTGGTCGTAAACGATGGTCTGATGAACCACAAATAATTCTAGAACAAATAAAAAATTATTTGAAAATTCTTAATCCTATTGATAAAATTCATGAACAAAGTAAACAAAGTGCGTATGAAGCATTGACTCGTATTGAAAATCATTTAAAATGGTCATTTATTCAACGACCATTGATAAATTTATTATTTAATCGTTTAAAAATCTTATTTTCATTACGAGAATCACCGAAATTTCATGGTATTATTCAAACATTTGGTAAATGTCGAAAAGAACTTTTATCTAAAGCACAATTAGCAGTTAACGAAAAATTTATTTTACATAGTGATGATATTTGTTTTTTATATATTGATGAATTACAATTATTAGCTTATGATACGGATCATAAACAATATACGAAAAGAAATTATTGGAAAAATTTAATAGAACAACGTCAAATAGAATATAAGCAGCAAATGTCTTGTAAACGTATACCATTAATATTAATGTCTGATGGAACAACATATTATGATGCTAGCACGATACCAGATGATAATAAAGATCGTGTTGAATTAATGGAAGGAGAATTTCTTGGTAGTCCAGTATCTCCAGGTATATACGAAGGAAAAGTACGAATAGTTAATGATCCAATAAATTCTGAATTGCAATCTGGAGAAATATTAGTTTGTACTGCTACTGATCCAGCATGGACAACATTATTTCCAATTGCTGGTGCGTTAGTTTTAGAAATGGGTGGGATGCTTCAACATGGTGCTATAGTTTCAAGAGAATATGGTTTACCGGCTGTTGTTGGTGTATCGAATGCTAAAAATATATTTCATAATGGTCAATTTATTCAAGTGAATGGATCCAATGGACGAATTAAAATTTTATCGGATTAATAAGTTTATGATATATCGATATACATAATTATAGATGTAATATTACACTTCATATTTTGAGTATTTAATAAAATATTAATATACTGTAAGAATTGTTTCCTATGAATCATATAATTAGTCATCCTAAAATTGAAAGACTGCTTTTGGTAACTATAGAACATGTTGACTCATTCATTCCTAACAAATCTCAAGCATGAAAGAAATGTGGTAATGTTTGATTCTTGTTTCCAAGGAAAAGAAAAGATTTACTTCTTTTTCTTTCCCTTCTCTCTAGCAGGTAAGCCGGAGTACATTCAATGAATCATTTCATTAATATAATGTATGTTTGTCTTACATTGACAAGTTCCATATAAAAAAAGACGTAACAGCATAGTTGTTATACAAACACTTTTCTTATCGAAATGTTTCAATAGGTAAGAGGAATGAATGAAACAAAAAATTCTCTATATATTTTATTCAATTTCAAGGTTTTTCTATATGATTTTAATTAATCTGATTTTATTTCTTCAATTGGTAAAGTATAAAATACCGAAGACAAAAAACTCATACATTAAGAAAATTATTTTTAGACATTAGTAATTAGTTTAATATCATGGAAGAATTGTAATAGTAAAACAAATGATAT